CACAAGTTTCAGCTTGGTGATGTTTCTTCATATAACTGTAGACTTTGCAAAAATAAAAATCAGAAACAAGGACTCCCACTGTGTTTAATATTAAACGTTTTTAATTGATATTTTATGAGCATGGGTTTAGGTGGAAGATACTTGAAAACTGTAAGTGTAATTAAATCACTGAAAGTAACTGGCCCTAAGGATGTCACATTAGCAATTTACAAATAAGGAAACTAAGGCAGTGCTTGCTTCCAGAGGCCATTTTGGTTTTGCAGTATAGTATATTCTCTATTATTTGTGTTAGCGAGAGGGAGAAGCACAGATAATCCAAGATCCTAAAAAGTCCCAAAGCATTGGAATAAATTTGTGTGTATATTTGATTAGTAACAAGTAAAGCCACACTGTGAACAGTGGCCTCAGGGAAGAAAAAACATTAAAACAAACAAAAATAGGCTCCATCAATCAAGAGGAACTAGAAAGTTTTCCTCCTTTTCTGTTCATTCCCTTTAATTGAGGTAAATAATAGCTCCTCCCCAAATAATCCGAGTAGGCTCAGCTGTCTACCTCCTCTAAGTAAGATTTTTATATTTTTAGTTTATATATTACTTGAAATAGAGAAAGAAAGTAGGTGTGTTGAGTTTCTAAAAGGCTCTTCATGATTAGAACGCTACCGGGAGAAATAAATGAAAGAAAAGGGAGTGGGTGATGAATAGCAAACGTGTAAACTCTATATAATTTAGATTAATAGGATTTGCCTTGAGTAGTCTACAGTTCAAAACATGTCCTGTATTTGAATGGAAATTGTTAGCTTTTTTTTTTTTCAGGGTCTTGTGGGTGGCATGGCCACTACCTTTGTTGTTATTGTTTTAATTGTGCTTTAGATACAAATTTACAGAGCAGAATTTGTTTTACATTCAACAGTTTGTGTACATTTGGTTTCATTCCCGACTACCATCCCCAACCCAACCCACTCTCCTCCCCTCCCTTACCTGTGAACCCCCTTCCCTGTGCCCTTCTTAACTATGCACTCCTGTCTGCCCAGCTTTCCCTCCATGTGAATGCTGTCCCTCTGGTGCCCCAGGGCCGATTGCTCCAAGGGGTGTATCTCCCTAGAGTAGGTGGGTGCATCACCCCATGATAGTCTAACAAATCAATGAAAGAAATGGAGCCCAGTACAGAGTTTAAAAGCTCTTGGTAATCGTAAAATTCATTGCAGGACACAATATATGTTTTACTCATATTTTTCACATTTTGGCAATACCTGATTGGTACTTATAAACATTCCACCTCTGCTATTCATGGACAGTCCCTAGCAGATTAGCCTAGAGGTAAGATTTGGTTGACAGGAGAGAAGTGTTTTGGTTGGTATATAAGACTAATATATATATATATATATATATATATATATATATAAAACAATAAAGATGGCCTAGAATAAGAACGGAAGACTGGATAAAAGAAAAGAAAATATGCATTTACCTGTTCATATTCATTTTTTAAGGTAATGCTGCATGGCAGAACACCAGGAGTACTGTACAATATGTAACTATGAGGCAGCCATTCCACCTATCCTCTCCTCAGTCTTTATCTATAAAATGAGAATGTTCTACCATGTTATCAGAGGTCCCTTCTGCTTCTTAAAGAATATAAAAACCTTCACTGATCTTTCTTGAACTATCAGAGGAATAGTAGTCAGTGAAAAGCAGACTGAAATAATTTTCTATCAATTCAGTTCTCCATTAAGAAGCTGATAAGTAAAAGCATGTTCTTTTGTGCCTTTAAAGACCTGCTGTAATCTTACCAGGCTGTTTATTTTTTAAAATACATTTGCTGGGCTCTGTTTGATTAGTCTCACTCACACCTCACACTGACTCTCTAAAGACTGTACTAAGAGAAGGATCATTCCATGCAGTTTCTGTGAGTTTGAAACTCAAGTTTGTCAACTCTGAAATACCAAGGATATATTCACAAACTGCATAATTTTTACAGTATTGATTTTAAGTAATCTAAATTGAGGTCTGTGTTAGCTAGAATGCCTCCATAAACATATAGGGTCACAAATATCAGCCTCTTTAGCTCTGACAGTCATTCCAAGTGGCACCAGCCAAGGAAATGTCCAGAGGTAAAAAGAAACTACAAATCAGACACTGGCTATAGTTGGGAAAGCGTGTTGGACATTAGTAGAGGAGCTTGAAGCAAGGAAGAAGGAAGACGCAGACTTTAGAAGGCTGCCAAAAATCTCTCCTGTCTGCTTGCCTCATTATAGAAGCAGCAGAACTGAGGACTTGTTCAAATTACTTCATTGTCTCTGCCTTTCTTAGCTAGATCATTGTTTCCAGCTGGTCCCCGTTTGTTTTCATGTTCTTAGGCACCTTATTTTGTTCCTTTCCAAGATTGCATTTTCCTTGTGCTGTTACACGTTGCCTGTTCAACATTGGCATCCTTGCCCCTTTCCAGTAACTTTCACAGTGATGAGATAAAAGCAGAAGAAACCAAATTACAAAGAAAGCTAATTTTCCCCAGTAAAGAAAGAGGAAACAGCCCCAAAATTCTGAAATCAGAGTGGACCACAAACAGCAAAGATATACCACTTTACTTGCCATCACCATTGTCACTGCTTACAGATGAAAATTACTGTCTGTAAAATACAGAACTCTACAATTGTGTTTCTCATTGTAGTTTTTTCAATTCCATATGTAAGCAAAGTTAGGTGGTAGACTGTATTCTTCATTAGAAAATCAAAATGTTCATAAGTGGTATGATTAGTTGCCTAAATTATAAATCTTGCACATTAAGCCTATGTCCTGTCCCCAAACCACACTACATTAGATAACTCAGAAGGAGCCCCAGATATTGCCTCTAGCCCACTCAGCTGAGTGTCCTGTCTCAATTAAAGGTACCAAAAAACATCTCATGGGAGGCTATTATATCAGGAAGGATATTGTACACCACCAGAGCTCCTTCACAATAGTTAATAACCAATAAATAGCCAATATGCTGTACTCATACATACTGGCTGACTATCGACCAAGATTACAGGTTTTGCTGATTTCAAAATCATACACTGGGAAATGAACCCTTAAACTTTCATTAATTTTTTGTATATCTGTTCTGTGATAGGTACTATGCTAGACATCATTAAAAGTGCAGAACTAATTAAGATTGTCTTACTTATACGAACCTTGTGTCTACTAGGAAAGATGTTTAAAAAAGTATAGAAAGAACTACAGAATAAGGCAGAAGATAGTAGGTATCATGCAAGAGGTATTAATAATATACTATGTGAGTATCGAGGAGGAAGATAGACCTGATTGGAAATACCAGGGGAAAAAAAGTCATGGAGAAAAGGGCTTTGAAATATAAGTGCAAAAACGGCAGGGAGGCCACATGTTCTGACCTCCTCTAACCCTACAAGGGGAAGGCAGGATTACCAGCAGTAACCCAAGGCTTATTACTG